ACTTGTTAACCAAAGACTAAGGGAAGTGGTAGTATAAAATGATGAAGGAAGGAGAACTTGGGGTTTATTTAAATGTGGGTGTTGTGGGGGGGATTATGGGGAGATGATCCTGTAAACGTGATTTGGATCTCACATGATTCTTCAATGCCCAACTTGGAATTTGGATTTTGGAAGATGGTTGTGGGCTGGGCAGGGGGATGATGCCTCATGGGTCATGGTGCCCTAAACTCATGATCTCATCATCTTCAGATCCAAAACCAATCAGCCCTTCAGATCTTAGAGGGTTGTCTTTCTACTGATTTGCTTAGGGGTTGGAAATCTGGAGTACTGAGATTCGGTAGACATATATTATAATCAAAACACATTCGGCCTACAGAACTCTACATTGGTTAGAGTTTGGCAACACTATTGGCTATTGTGCTGGCAAAGGACAAATGGGGTTGGACCGAATATAACTTTGAACTTTGATGTATGTATTAGATGGAATCTAGACCGACCTCATCGGGTTCTTTGGTCCCCGTTACTTCTCTAGTTGCCGACGTTTGAATATATAAAATGGAGGAAAACTCATCAAACCATATGATTCAAACTGCTGCTGCAGTTGCAACTTCTATTTATTATTGTATGTATGTAACGTATATTCTTTTGTGATTAGCCGTTGGTCTGGCACATATTCGTTCAAACTTCGAATTGGGTCATTAATGGCTGGTGTGATCACATGGAGAAGAAGTGGGGTTGGATGAGTCTCCCAAATATATATTCAATATAATCGATATCTATATATATTTATATATAGATATAGGGGCCCATAATGAAATGGTTAATTTGTTCTTCGCTGGTAGTTGGGGTGTTATTATTAGGGCACATGCCCTGGACTAGTAACTGCTAGAATCCCTAACTAACTTTATATTGTCTTTAATATACAAAAAAATGAATTGGTTGTTCAAACCAGTTATTTAAGACTTCTCTTGATGATGTCTCCCGACTCCCATGTCAGCCTCGGCCCTGCCCATGTGTGGATGATAATGCGCCAAATCTTATCAATCAATACAGGATTTGATTTATATATGTATATCCTAGCTACTATTTATTGCACCCTTTTCTCAAGCAACTATAGTCCACTAAAGTTTTAAAATGGATTCATTTTGCCACGTGGCAAAGAAGCCGGAGGGGGGGGGGGAGGATGATAAAATTATACCCAATTGAAACGAATCTAGAGGTTGGTGTAAACCGTTTACTGCTTTAAAATAAATGGCCACGTAAGCTTCCATTTAGGAAAGATTTTACATTTTATGTTTGTGAAAATCTTCTCTTCCTGCAATATTTATGGAAGCTTGCTGATGGTGCTAGTGAATTAGCCCTAGTAGTGATTAGGTAGGTTAAGTTATTACCACCACCACCACCATTACTCCACCTACTCTTTTACGTGGTCCTTCACAATTCCAATTGTTGCAAACCGGTTCTTGAAGCTGGTAAGCACAAGACAAGGTTCCAATTCTCATCTACCTGGCCGGGCTAGCTTGGCGTGGGGCTCCCAATTTAGTGTTGTTTATGGAGCGAAGCTGGAATATCTACTCTGCAGGACTCTGGGGGGGGGTTGGGGGAAGGGGGATTAGAGAATGGAATTAGATTCAAGCATTCAACAATGGAGTGGAGACAAAGTTGGGATTGTGATTTGTGAGGAGGGGGGCTATAAATCTACATCATCACTGTGAATGGCAGCACAAAAATAGGTGGCCCGGCCGGACCCTCAACTAATTAACTTGAACTCAAAAGATGACACCTTTCACAAACAATCGCTTTCCATGTATGAAAAAGCATTGATAAGGCAAAGAATTCATGGGTATCATCAGTTCCTCCATGCAAGGAGCTGCTAATTCTTTTTTTGGTGGAAGCGTTGCTTTTCTTCATAAGCATAGGATCCATTTCTTATCTGCTAGGACTTCAAATACATATTCAGTATTATCTGAATATATTTCACTAGTGGAGTACAGAAAGAATCCTCTCTCTCTCTCTCTCATCCATTCAAGGGACTTGTGTTGTGACCCACAAATCAGTTGGTATGAATTCTCAGCTACGTATTGGTTAATTATTATGACTGAATCTTGTGATCCACAAGACTCAGCCTAACAAGGTAATTAGGTCAACAACTACAATATCAATGTGTTAGCCATATATATGATGGAATGGCCCAGAAGTGGACCTTAAGCAAAAGCAGTTGCAGGGAAATCTTTATTTGTAGAGCTAAAGCAAAATTTGTAGAAAGTGCCTGTCCAACATCAAGCAGACACTCGGCATTTTCTTTTGCTTAGCTTGATAATTTGCCATATTGTTTTCTGATAGAAATTAAAGATGCATGATAACGATCGTAGGCTCAGCAAATTCTTAGTTTTTTTTGGAAGGAGGTTTGGCCTTTTGGCTTTTATTAACTAGTTGAAGGTTTCTATTTCATGGATAAAATCCATCAGTAGTACAAATGCTGAAACATTAGAATTCATATTGGATAACTGTACTGACATTAATGAGAATAGATTGTTGGGTTTGACTTTTTAAGTATCTCCTACAATTAAATCAAGATATATACTTATGGTCAACTACAGACCGTATTCTTGAACTTTTCAGGTGGGGCACAATTTTCAAACAGCCCATTAATTCGTCCAATACTTTATATTCTTGTAATGGGAAATAATTATGCCACCAACCCTAATTTTGTTTCTTTTTTCTTTCTTCCTATATTTTGAAGCATTCTTTTGTTTTGTGCTATATGGGATTTGTTTTTTATGAAAAGATTAAATATTTGTACTTTAGGTTGCATTTGGAAACAATGTAAATAAGTGTGAATGTAAATACATAGAGTTTAAAATGGTTCATATAAATTATAAAATTGGGTTAGTTTTGTATCGACAAATTTATTTTTTCTTACCAAATAAACTTTTACCTGTAACAGATGCAAATATGAATTCCCAAAAAGCATATGCTTTTTTTTTTTTTTTATCAAAAGTCCACTTGAATGCAAATTTAATTCTTTTTTATTGATGTACTTTTACATCTTATTATCAATGTAAATATGCAATGATCTGTCATTTGTCAATGCATAAATGTAATGTTGCCAAATACAGGCAAAAGTGAACCAGAGTGCAAATTTATTTTAAACCGGGATTTACACTCCATTTGCATTGTTTCCAAATGCAACATAATATATATATAGTGATTCACCAAATTAATTGTTATCAGATGGTTGACTGGTTTGGTCAAAGAATTAAATGATTATAGGATTATAGTTTAATGGTTTTTGTTGTTTTGTTAAGTTTCTGAAATAACACATTTTACTACGATTTCTTATATATTAATACTATACATCAAAATCAACAGGAAAAGGAGGAGGTGGAGGAGGCCTACACACTCAACAACTAATCAACTTGTCTTGTTTCCATTGTAAGCTATTTGTGAATATGGTTAAAATAAGTAATATTCATCATATGCTACAAATGCTTCAAACGAACAATCCATAAATTTATATGGCTGGATAACATGTTTGTCTTGATCATTGATCTTAAAATCTAAAATCTGCTTCTACAATTATAGAAGGTTTCTATATGCAAAATACAAGCCTCTAGTTTTGTTATGAAAATGCAAATTTTAAACTTTATTTTTTATTAAACTGTTTTGTTTGTAATATTTCTCACCTCTTTTTTAAGAATATTTTTTGCTAGGAAAATTTCATGAAAAAGTATAGCTAAAACTGTAAATCTTGGATTTTATTGTTGATGACAGTCCTAGCTTGATAAAGAATCGTTTGGACTCTGATCTTTGCTTGAAGCATTAGAGAACGCAGCCTGCATGAGGAACAACCTGAACAAGTAATAAAATGATAGAATCCTCTGAAGTGTAGATGTAGGAACCATGGAGTCAACCCAAATCCCATGGGTATGCGCAGATTGTATCAGGCACAGAATTTTAAGTTGATGATGACTTCATGGGGGGGAAATGTTTTGGCATTTCTATGCTCATGAAGGGATTCAGTGAAATCTCCTTTTTAAGTCTTATGTGGGGGCCTACATCTACTGGACTACTGCTACAATCTCTCTCATTGGCAATTTTTATTTCTGACTTGTAAAATATTACAGGACTGAAAAAGGGAATCTTGAGCAGATACATGATACATCATATCTTGGATCAATAAATACCAGAGAAATTGCAATTAGGGCATAACCACGTGCTTCTCCTAAATCATTTCTTGGCATTGTTTGGTGATTTAGATGTATAAGACCAGCTGTACAAGTGAATGCACTGGATCCAGACCTTAAAGCCTAACTCCAGGGATGGAGTCAAGGAGTTGATTTTGTTACAGGAGAGGAATTCAAATTAGAGAAGGTCAAACCAAAAACAATCTCAAGTTGCTGCCAGAAGGACTTCTTGACTGAATTATCAAATATCAACTATGGGATTGACTGAAAGTTCTGATCTAGCAGTAATAAGCTAAGTGCAGCAACTCTTTAACCAACTGGACTACTATTTCTTTTCTCCTCCCAAGATACAAAAGGCCATGAAAATCTGTGCAAACTAGAAATCAACAAAAAAAGAAAAAAATCAAACTTTTGACTTTTGATTTTTTGAAGGCAGCGTGGTGTTGGTCGGGGAGCAATTCTTTCTCACGGTTCCAGTATTCCCGTTACACTGTGTTCTTTGTTGACAAAAGAGACACAATTTTGCCTTCCATTTGTTATACTTATATATTATATATATTGTGGATTCATCGCTGAAATCTGTTCCTCCGGAGAGTAATAGCTTCTTTTCTAAGAATCAATAGATAAAATGAGTAGATGTTGATATTGTTGAAGCCATGAGTGGTTTGCTCTCATGACGTTACTTTTTTACTCTTTTCTGGGCTTACAAGAAGACTTTTATCAATGCTTATATCATCTCCTTCAACGTTCAAAGTGACTAGGATCTTTTTCTTTTTTTTTTTTTTTTCCTCAAGTTACACAGAGACAAATAAATGAATAAATAAAATCAAACTTTGAATAAGGGACTTAAACTAACATAATCATAGACTCAGTCTCATAGAGAACAATTTCTCCCACCAACCGCTCTAATTGGTTTCATAATTTCAGTATTCAAACCTTAACATAAAGTCCAAACAAGGCAAGCCCATCATTTCTAAATCACTCATCAACCAAAAAAAAAAAGAAACAAAAAAGAATAATAAGATATAAGAAACATATCAATGTTAATTGCTGTACTGTTAAAGCACATGACTTGCTCTTATCTTTGATTGTCTGATGAGAAACCCATTATCCTCTTCAAAGCAGGGAATAGAGAAGATGAATAAGAAATGGGAGATGGGACCTCTTCGGCCAAATGCTCTTCCACCAACTCTTTAACAGACCTAGACGACAAGGGATGAAAAGCAACACTCCACTCAGAAACAAACCCTTGAATCATATTTAACTTCTCTTCTTCATCCACCTTTCCCCATCTCTTCTTTACCTCCTCTGCTTTTAGACCATGATACTTACAAAACTCCCCAAATAAGAGTTCTCTGCTCTTCTTCATCGCTTCCTCTCGCTCTAATGAATTGATGTTTATCCTTGCCACCTCTTCTGCTAAATCCGCAGCAAGCTCAGCATCACCGATGCTATTGCTGCACAAAATTGGTACCTTTCTGCTGTTTCTGAGGCAGATCGTGGAAGGGAAGGGTTGACTCTCGAATTTGACGGGTTGAGAAAGGATTTGGGGGCAAAAAGAAGGAGCTCTGAGGGCCATCGGAAGTATGAGTTAATAGGAAGAATTGGGTTTTCTCACTTTTCTGTAATAAACTGAGGTTCTTTCCTTCTTGGTATGTGGATTTTCCACCTTCCAGCGAGTGGTTGGATGATGCCCAAAAGAAGAAGAAGAAACACAGAGATTGAGCATTATTGCTCTAGCCGCTAGGGTTAATTGCAAATTTTGTCCACCGGATTTTTTTGTTAAATTACAAAAATAACCTCTTTACATTAATTAAACTACGAAAATGCCATTGTTCCACACAGTAACGCCACACGCCACACGCCACACGCCACACGCCACGGCCACTCGGCCAGGCCAAGAAGCCCAAGAACAAGAAAATGAATGTAAAACTCTGAATGAAGAGGATCAACCGATCAAGCATGACGATTGACGACCTAGACCTACCGTCTTTGAATTATGCTTCGAAATTTGGTAAGTGGATAGAAAAAGAAAAATCAGCATGATCAGATGCCGGAAACAGCAATCACTATCTGGGTTGACTCCGAAATCGTTTTCGAAAACATTTTTCCAAACCATCGAATTTTTTTGCTTTAAAAGCACATCAATTGGGTGGTAGGGTCCTGATTTTCCTGACCAAGCATTTGTTCAAGCGGAAGGGATGTTGAGTATCTAGTAAAAATAAAATCTCAGAACTAGAATAGAAGAAAGGAGAAATTTTGGTAAATGAAGGCATGTTTGATTCAACTCTAATTTTCTGTTCATAATGTCCAATAATCAAATTCTAGAATTGACAAAAATGTTGCTACGAACAGAATGCCAAAAAAAATTTCCCTTTTTATGGTAAAAATGAGAAAAGAGCTTGGAACTTCAAAATAGAAGTGGACTTTGAATTTTATAAAATTAATAACATGAATATGTAAAAAATATCTAACAATTTCATCAAATTAATAATAGTATATTCAATAAAGATAATATATTGATAAAACCATAAAATATAGTACAACATCATCATAAAATCATGCGTCATATTATTTATTTTCATTTTTCAAAGAAACTCTGTGTTGATGATCATAAACCACCGGTGCTGGTCTCAAAAACTATTGGCATACATTTTTACCAGTGGATGGTCGGCAATCAATGAGGCCCATGACAAGAATTTTGTACCCGTGATACAGTCTTGCTCATTCTTGCCTATAATAAATAAGAATTGAAAGAATGGGATTCGCAGGCTCGCAGCAGCAGAGAACCAAACATTTAACAATGGTTAACTAGTCAGAAAAGGGGGTAAAAGATTTGGCAAGAAAAATGGTTTCTAATATTTTATTTATTTATTTTTGATAGGGCGGAAGGTGCAAATGGATTCTAGAGTTCTCTCTCATTCCTAATATGCATTCAATGGACGTTTGTATTTTCAACAAAAAATTGCATTTTTATTCCTTACCAAAAAATATGGAAACATACGCACATGAATTTATAGCTTGAGAAATAGAATTAGGCTCCCCTGCTTGGTTTTGTATAACACGTTGTATTTATACCAAATTTTGTTCGATTCAATGCATGTCTTCGGTAGAAGCAGAAGCTTCTTTTCTGTTCTAATTTAAGAGGCGTCTGATAACCAGGACCCTGATGCTTTTAATTTGTATAGAGTACATCGCATATGAAATGGATGGTCCACTAGGTCTGTGAAGGAGATCAATAGTCTGATTTTAAGCAATTTATGGACACATTGGGATCGCATAGTCAACAAAATTTGGTCCACCCACTTGTACATTGTATATAGATTTATATTAACAATAATAATATGTCAACTTGTCAAGTGGTATATGCAAGGTTCTAATATCGGATGTATCAGCCTGTGTCGGTGCTTTTTTTTTTTTTCAAAATTAATTCACAGGAATCGGTTTAAGTCTCAGTTACCCTCTGAACCATGGTCTGACCCGATACAACCCCTGTAAGGGCATATCAGGAAGTCATCGGCACGATACGTATCAACCGATATATGTCGATACTTTGAACCTTGGATATATGATTGTTAATGTTTACAAATTAAAGAAACATGTAAGAATACTATTTGAATGAATTATATAGTGTAGTTTACTTGGTGTCTTTGACTTTATTTCTGCTGTTGAATTCAAACTTGAACTGAATAAATGGCCCTCTCATCGTACGTATTGTAATTCAAACTTGAACTGAACATTAAATTGATAATTAAGGAGGTTCGCCTTGATTGCTCGGAGTCGGGATGGATATTTTTGAAACTGCTCAAGCTCTGTTGGCTCAGGCAGGATTGAATGGTATATGGGCTCCGAATCCGATTCGATGGGTTCACCTTAATGAACTTGATCATATTCATCGACGAGTATCCGAACCATTGGCGAACATTGGTTCATGTTTTCGTGACATTCATGAACCAACTCAACCTCCCTGTCTTTGTCAAGAGATATCTAACTAGTAAGTAGTAACAACCGCATGATTGAATCCAAAGAGAAATTCACTAAATGGGATGCATTATTAGAAACTAAAATTGTAGCTGTATCAAGAGTCTAAGATGATGAAATCCGGATTTCCACTCTAAGGGATGAATTGGGATTATTTAGTGCCCCATGGTAATGATGAAGGGCACTACCTGTCACCTTGACAGTAGTGTGTGTTTTCAAAACAATCTGAATGCATTGAACCCATTAAACATCATTTGAGATTTGATGAGGCAAGGCTTTGATGATGATGATGATGATGATAATATATTAGACATAAAATGATTAACCGGGGAAAACAAAAAATGTTGTCAACTTTGCCAAAGAAAATGTCATATAGTACAATCATTAGATCTATAATATATTTGTTTGTAACATCTATAGTTAAACAAAGTCCATATGGTTGGAAGAAGGCTTAGATGATGATGATGATGATATTTAAACAAAGAAAAAAGGTGGGTTAGGTAGTAGGAGGCCTAATACTAATAGCATAACGTGGAAAAACACTTTCAGTACATAATTTAGTGGCAAGATACATATCACCATCAAATTTAATTGAGAAACCTAAACATGAGATGAAAGTCGATATCACTGCCTCAACTTGATAATCCCCACTTCAGATTGGGTGAAAAAAAATGGGATTTTTGGACTGCAATCCCCCTCAGAAATGGGATTTCAAAAAAAAAATCTGTGCGTAAGAAAAGGATTCGCCATGTGTGAAGCTTCAATATTGCCTAAATTGATTTGAACATCAAAATATCAAATGCAAAGATGCTTCTCGTGAGATCATGGAATCAATCATCTGAAAGAAACATCATATCAGGGCTTAACTCATCATAAAAAACAACCCATTAAATTGGTTATTTAGGCATATAATAATAAGAATATCCAGAGTCCAAATCAATGAACGTTTTGGATAACCAGCTTACCTTTACCCTGGAGAAAACATCCTTGCACGAGAGATGTTATAACTTAATCCTTGGTAATGCCATGAACCGCTTGACTCCTCCACTAAGAACAACTTGCTCTCTCTAAACAAGGCTGACCTAGTGCAATACCTTTCCTGTATATTGCAAAATCAAAGTTTTATATTTTAGTGAGGTTGTTCCATAACTGACTCTGGTGTCTGCATTGAGTGGTTTATAAATTATTGCAAATCAGGCTAATGTCCAACATGCAAATAATAAAAAAGAAACTGGGACAGGAAAGCTCCAGCTTTAATAGATTTATCAAAAAAAAAAAAGCTCCAGCTTTAATATAGTTTTTCCTCAAAGTATTTTTCACCAGAAAAATTTAAAGTGCCAAAAATGACTAGCAAGTATTGTGGTAATAGTGTGGTCTCAATCAGAAAAGAAAAACAGGAGGTAAGAAGATGTGCTAGTATTTTTGGAACTATCATGGTTTAAACATCACCCAACCAACCTAGAGAGCACTAACAAACCCACAATAAAGATCAAGTGAAAAACCAAACTATGCCAATATTATTTGTACTGTCCTAGAATGGAGGTGTGTTAAAATATACAGGTATCTCTGTGTGTTCCATGTTCCTTTAGCTTTATTTTATAATACAAGTCCACTGCAATACATGGCAAAATCTCATGTGCAGGAAAAGATGGCCCTAATAAATTCATTTTCATTCTTCAGAAAACAAACAGAGAAAAATTCTGGTTATACATGGAAGATCAGCTGGTCAGAAACTCCATAAAATTCTATTAAAAGAAAATGGTTAGAAAGTGTTGTTGGAGAAATTAAGTTCTAAATGGTGCTCTTCGAACTCCAAACTTAACCAACCTGATAACCATTGTTTTCTCTTCCATGAATCACACAATTTCCAAGCCACGATGAATCATTGCCGACAAGATGTCAACCCATGTGTCTGGGACACCTGGAAGGCACCAGTGCATGCAATCCTGACCCCAAATAGCTACTGCATCCTTCTTCCCTAGCCAAATTGCAGGATGGGCATCTACTCTAAATTCACTCAAATGGGTAAGGTCTAGCAACTGGATATCTGTGTCCTGTAATGCCTTCTCAATCAGATGGTTCACTTGTCTTGCTTCTTTGTTGAATCCTGAGTTCCTTGGATCAAACCATGTGTCAAGCTGTATGGACATCAGTACATATCTCAAACAAAATCAAATAAAGATAATGAAATATTTCCTACTTAATTTACATAGCTTTTCAGTTTTATGCAAGTAAGAGCCACACAATGTGGCCTTCACTTTTTCAGATGCTTAGAATCCAGGCACACAACCTGGTACTTGCATTCTTGGTAGCATGCAACCAAATCATAGTCTTTATTCAGTATGATGAAATTGTAAAACAAACATCCAACCCCTGGTTCCTATGTGTCTATCTGGTCATAAATTGCCATCCAAACACTAGGGAACTTGTACTGGATATGGCATGAAACTTTTATAGATTTATCGGAAAAAACCAACATGAAACTCTCATCTTTTCAACAACCCTAATTGTATAAACAATGAACTTCTGCAACATTTTCTTTTCTTTTTTTCACTGCAGAAGACAAGAATTTATTCTGTTAATATTAATCTAAGGCAAAGAACCATTGCAGTTTTTCCTGGAATATTACATATCTAAACTGCCTAGGAGAGAGAGCATTAATCATGAGACAGAGAAGACAAAGACAAAGACAAAGACAAAGACTATCTCATACAAGAGATAAAGCAGCGCCACTACATTGTGGAATATACACCATTTTACAAGAAAGAGAACTGCCCAAGAGATGTCTGCAATTTGTTATTGTAATGTAGGTATTCTATGGTGAGGCAGCATCAATACTTAAAAGGAGATTCAAAATTGCTTTGGCATATTCATCTCTGAAGCATATTGAGTAAAATATTGAATTTGCAACTTAGTAGATAGGAATAGGATTATTGGAAAGCATTGATGGAGTACAATGTAAATATTGGAGTGTGGTAAAAAAGGCTCTTGATCCAACAGTTGGTTGACAGTACAATATAAATATTGGAGTGTGGTCAACAATGGGAAAGCCTATAATTCTATGAGCTGGATATAAATGTATCCTTGTTCGAACAGAACAAGTTTTGGGATGTGGATGTTTGGTCAATCAAATTTGCAAAATAGGACAAGGATACAGATTGACAACCACATTTCATGTGTGAAGCTTTGAATACCTTGTACATGAATCTGATATGGCATGAGGAGAAAACCTTTCTCATAAAGATAATGCTTCTTTATCAGTAGAAAGAATATTTGCTTTATAGTAGAAAAGATATGAAAATTCATACCTGGTCCTCTTCAAGAGGCTTGTTGAACAGGCAACTACCATTCTGATTCCACTCACCACCATAAAAATGCCTTGGGGACTGCAAACGCCAGAATTTAAGGGTCCCATAAGGGACTTCCCTTTGTATATAAGAGACCATACTCTCAAGAACAGTTTGAAGCCCATCTAATATTCCGAGTGGTGGAAGTATAGGATGCCCATTCTTATAGAATACAAGAGGTGTCTCTTTAGGAAATTTATCAAAGCCCCACCTGGTTCAAAGTCCATAACAACATAAGAAGACAGTTCTTAAGAGAATTCATTACAGTTTGAACACCAAAAAGACCCAGAAAAAGTGATTGAAATACCAAGAACCAACGTTGGCAGACCCAATATGTCAGATCATCAGGTTTAACAACAAGGCTCGAGCAAGAGTGAGATGCCCAGAATACAATGCAAGCATCCAAGTACTCCACTGAAAAATCCAAACTGCTCTTTATATGTTGTTTTTTTTGGTTGTTCAATTGCAATTTGGTTGGAGCACAAGAACTCAAGACTGTGATAGATTTGTCTTTGCAATTGTATTGATGTGTTGTGCAATGCCATAAATTCAATGGAGAGATACCATTTTTAACTTCTTGTCCAAAACTCATAAAACTCAAGACATTGTACAGGATTAAGGTAAGACTTCTCAACTACCCTTTTCTTTCTTTGTCTTTATTCTTTCTTTTCCTTCTATCTGTTTCACCTCAATTCTGATTTCTCTCAACCACAGACCTTATTTCTACTTCCAAATCACTATTCTATTTGTTCACTAATCAGTCTAGTCATTTATTGCTTATGTTCTTTTTTTTTTTTTTGATAAATGAATGGTAATTTATTCAGACATAATAAGATGATGATACACGAGCTGGTAATTTATTGCTTATGTTCTTCAAAATTTACCTTCTAAAACCTCTTTAAATTCTTAATTCTTAGAATCCTAAAACAGTTTAGAGTCATGCATACGCACACTGGGAGGTCTTATCTGTATTAAGCTATCATAGCCTAGGCCATTAGATGACTCTTGTCTGTATTCATCTGGAACAACTATCCTAGACTAGAGATGCAGAAAACCTAGAAAGTTCTCATGTCACAAGTAATAAGAAGGAAGATGAAGTTACTCAAGAACCATATCAACTGCATCACTTCATTTAGGAAGACAGATGCTTGGCCAATAATATGACAGATTGTTCAGATGGGTCCAGAGATGAGTAAGTTCTTTCACTAGAGTAAATTGATGAACAAGATATGTATTTGGGTCTAACCCCTGGATTAAGGGTCTAATGGGTTTTCTGTTTGGAACTCATTGTTTCTGTGGGAGAGTTGTGTAGTGGGATAGCCCTTGATTTCATCTTTGGAGAGAGTCAAGCCCTTGTATCTGCATTTCACTTGTTCTCTTGATTATATAAAGTATATAATCAATTACCAATCAAGAAAATCAGAATTTGATCCTGGTATAAGTATGCCACTTAAGACCCACAGCTAGCCTAATCTGATCAGATGTATCACAATTCAATTCATTGACAGCCCTAATAAGAGCAGATTGAAGCTTGCTATTACATCATTAAGCACCATTTTTTCAGCTTCAGGTCTGTTCAATGTTTGATCAGCAAATAATTCTATGAATTGTTGCCTAATAATTTAGGTATCCCCAAAATTTACTCTGCTTTTGCTCACATCTGGCCTAACCTGGTCCAAAATCTGTATCATGATTCAATTCATTGAAAGCCCTAATGAAAAAAAAAAAAAAATGAAGTACTGAGACTTATTGGTGTATTGCTAATTACCTTCCAGTTCAGCTTTGGGTCTCTACAATGTTGGAACCCATAACCTCTCCAAAATTTCAGTAAATAGATCTATAACTAGTCATCACTAATTCAGGAATACCCAAATTTGCTCAATTTTTGCTTATGAATAACAAGTTGAGTGAAATGCTTCAGTTTTTTTTTTTTTTGACACAACAGAGCTATGGTATTAGACAAAAAAATGAAGAAAAATAGAGAAGTAGCAAAAAAGAGAATTGAATTCATTACCAGTGTCCAGTATTGAATATCAATACATCATAAAATTTTGTGACTTCAACCCAATCATCTGCAGGAATATCAACATCTACTCGGTATATCCCCTTCAATCTATCTTGACCTGTCAGATTTAACTGCTTCTCAGGGTGCCACCTTCACATAAACAGTAGCAACATGTAAATTTTCATATACGAAATTTCCAAAAGCGCAAAATCCAAGTCAAGATTCCTATTAAGATGTAACATTGAGTTTCAAAAAGCACTCACTAATCTGACTACAAATAAAACCTAATGTACAGAGTAGACCAAGTGTGACTCAACTGAGTGCAATAAAAAAACAAACAGCACCTTAGTCCCTTCACATTTTTGTAGGCAAAAATCTATGCAATCTGATCTGAAGAGCATTAAGGATTGGAAAATTGTTTAAATGATTTGGTTTTAATAATCCAGCTTTCTCTAAGTTACCACTGGGCCCATGTTAAAACCAAAAAAAAAAATCCAACTATCTAAAAGCAAATAATCCTTAAGTAATTCAAGCCAAAATTGACCAGTAGACATTAAAGGCCCGGATGAACCCTTTCAGGTGCCTTTTTCAGAAGTCAAACTTTTACCAAAGACATACCACCCATGGACTAGAAAATCACAACTCCATATCCCCTTAGCTGGTTATTGCAGAACTCAATAGGCTAGCCTACAATCCTAAAAGATTTCATGGATGAAGTTTCACAAAAATGCAATAGTCATACTCAAAGTCATAGCCTTTCAAAGATGGGTCACAAGGGCTGTTGCACCTTAGTGGAGACCCCTTATTACCATCCAGATAGTGACTTCCATGGATCCAATTTAATAATGAGATATCCAAAACCTCCTTTAATTTCTAGTTATATTGCTAGATTCACTGTTGTTGTTATTGCTGCTGCTTGGAGACAGAAAAAATTCTTAAGAATATTTTGAAAAGAACAGAAAATGCAATACGGATTCCTCCTAAAATCAGAGGGACAAACCAACAAATAGATCATCATCATCTCCCAAAATGCTCTACAACAAAAAAACCTCCAACAATACAAACCTAGGAGGCAAAGCCCCCAAAAAAGGACTACTACCTACTCAAGCCAAGCTATCAGCTAGAAAATTGCCAGACCAGCCAAGGATTTAAGGGAATGAGGTACTTGCTGTGCTAGAATTGGCTGCTTTGTTTTCTCTAACTTTAGTAGGTTTGAATTGTTATATTAGAGATTATTTTGTTTTTTTTTTCAGCTTCATTTTCTTCTGTTCAATTAAGACATTACTATTTTACATTACATCAATCTACTTTTATAGTAAGGTTGTACCTTATATTTATTGTGGATCTCAGACTCAACTAATAAGTTTTGAATTTGGAAAGTGGCATACTTTCTATTTTTGAACAGGATAGGGCAGCTTAGCATTCTTTTCAGACAAGAAAATACAACGGGTATGAACATTTCATTGTGTATATTGATTCTGTTATTTGAAGGGGAGATATTGCTGCTGGAATTAAAACTTCTATATAAAGGACTTGGGGCAATTGCATTATTTCTTGGAGATAGAAGCTGTGCAGTCTAAAGTCTTAATTTATCTTGCTTATCAAAAATAAATCTCAATTTATCTTAACAATAGAATATGTTATATATACCCAAGGAGACTTGTCTGCTTGATGGAAGCTTAATAAGGACCAGAATTGCAAGTTAAAAATAGTAAGATAGAGTCATGTGGCCCTGTTAAATATCTCTGCTGGTTGGCCTGATCACATGTGTCACCCTAAATGGGCTAACCATATCCCATTCGCACTCCCCATGCTAGCTCTAATTTTTTTCACCACCAAAGATCCACATTCCTGCCCTAGTCTCACTCTAAATCCTTAATATCAACCAACAGTCTGAAAGATAACAGATCAAGTGAGAATCCTATCTTAACCAATTAATTCCTAAGATTATAAGTCTACACAACCATCATAAATTATCATGCAAAAACATTAATTCATATAACAACTTTTAAGGTGCTGAATATGAAGAACTATGAACTTAATCAATCTAGAAACAATAAGTGAAAAAGTTTCCATAAAATCTATAACTAAAGGTTTAGCCCCCTTACCTAGAGTTCGGGATTTCGTTCCCACAGCGCTGGCAGCCATGCATTGGGAACATCTCCGTATATATATATATATATACACTATTCATAGGGAGATATTCCCAATACATGGCTGCAACATGGTTTAAAATTTCCCTAATTTCCCTAATATTTCCACGACATATTTCCATTTCCATAGTTAGCGACACGAAATTTTACGGGAATCAACATTTTCCCAATGAACACTACCAGCACTATGTGGAAATAGTTTCCACAACATATTTCCATTTCCACTTCCATGGGTAGTGACATGAAATTTTATTGGAATCGACATATTCCCAAATGAACACTACTAGTACTTTGTGGAGTCCAAGAGTATTATAACATAAGTTGGTGACATATTCCAGATATGTGAAGTAACAATGTTATTTTACGCCTAACTTACATGATAACCACCTTGAGCTAGCTAGTTCAATATTCATTTCAAACATGAAGTTAAATATTAATTTTTTGTTTGTGTAATAGATTATATGGTTGATCTATAACAATCATTTACATTTTCTATGAGTTTAAATTTTGCTTTAACACATTCTATTATGAAACTCTTCTCAAAGAACCATTCAACCTAAAAGCTTAAGCTGTTAGGTGAGGTCCTTGAATAGGTTGATATTCTCTAACACGCCCCCTCACACAAAAGACCATTGGGCTTCAAGTGTGAACAAGCATAGGCCCACCCATACCTTGTGCTGAAACTTAATTAATTATAATGGGGGTAATGAGGATCGAACACTAGACCACTTGGTCAAAGTGGCTCTGATGCCATCTCAAAAAACCATTCAACCTAATAAAAGCTTAAGCTGTTAGGTGAGATCCTTAAATGGGTTGATATTCTTTTGTCCATATCCTTAGTTTCTTAGCTTTGTTTAATGATTTAGAACAAGATAGTGATTTAAAAAGGTGTGCCTATGCATCTTTTATCATTTCATAAAATGTCATTCTATGTTTTGCATATTTTACACTATTTCCACCATGTCTATGATATTTACAATATTTCCATACGATATTTCCAACATGCTTCTTATATTTGGATGGCCGACATTTCCACGGACATCCACATTTTAAACCTTGGCTGCAAGTGCTATGAGGACAGATTTTGTGAGGACGAAATCCGAATTCCCTTACCTAAAATCCTTTTAATGAAATTAGTAATTAATTAATTATTTAAAACTATGATATAAAATAATACTTAACAAGAAAAAGTAATAATGAAATAAAATTGAAAAAATACTGCAATAGCAACCACCAATGGCCTCCCTGGGCTCTACTGATTCTTGCTCATCCATTTTTTAACTTCATACTTTCTATTGGAAAACATGGTGGTACAACTACTTGGTTCTCTGCATTAATTTTTACCTCAGTTCCAAATACGATTACCATATTAATACCAATCCTCTTTTATTCGATGCACACCTCTCGGGATTTGAAAAATATAAAGACCCAAATAGACAGCACAAGATGGACTTTGAATGCAATTGAATCAAGAAAAAAATGTTTCAGGTAAACAATCAACAAAGGAATGTGGAACCCGAAATGAAACGAATATAACCAATTTTCTTACTCGTATTTGGCGAGCAAGACAGCCCGATGGTAAGCAACCGTGACATTAAACTTGGGGAAGTACCCGCCTCTCCAAGCCCCTTTCCTCTTCCATTTTTTTGCACCTTCATCTGCCACCCGGAGAATGCAAAGAAACGAAACCAAGAAATTTTCGTTCAAAGAATCGCCAATAAACCCAATTTTCTTATTCCTCATCAAGTCCAAAAATGCAACGGGATCGATCCGCGTAGAAGTGCAATTTTCAGGCACCCATCTCCACGAGTTGATCTCCTCCATGTTATCTCTCTTGTTCCTTAAGCAATTCCAAGCGTTGCGATGGAAAGGGCAGTTTTCGTCATAGATGGGTCTGTAACTTGGATCTCGAACCCAATGCCCCCTAAACAAGTTGCAAATTGGAGAAGGGTGTCTTCGCTCTAACTGTGGATTCTTCTGGGATTCTTTAAGTGGGGATTTCAGAGACTGCATTGGGGTTGGAGAGAGAGAGTAAAAAGGAAGAAAGGAGGAGTAGAGGTAGAAGAAGAACAAACAAGTTAACAAGATGAACCATGTAAAGAATGCAGGGGAGAGCTTCGAAGCCATCATCTTCAACAGAATTTCTAGAGCTACAATTACAAATTTAGCGGTTCCATTCAAGTCGCCAAATCTCGCTTGTTGAGTTCTGGTTCTGGTTCTGGGATCGCTGTATGCGGTGCGGTCGGTTTAGTTCGAAAATTTCAGATGTCTCGAACGGTCGAACCAGTTGAAGGTTCAAGGGACGCGTGTACACAGCAAATAAATACATGATCAAAACCGGATCTAGCAGGCACCTTTCGTGAGAGATCAGATCTGCTACCATTTACCAATAAACGCTACTAATGTTGTCCCAACACTCGTTACAGTCGCACAATGGGAATATCTCTTCATGAATGGTACAGGAGATGTTACCATTGTGCGGCTGCAGTAGCTTATTGGGACAGTGTTCCGTGGGTAAATTGATAGCAAATCCCTACCCTCGAAATTATTGAGCCCCACTTACACATGTCAGCGTGCATTGAAAACATCATGTTTCCACTTTTGAGTATACAGTTTACAGTTAGGATGTATAGTGGGGCGCGTCTTGTGGGGCGCTGATGTGAACTCCCTACCCCCTTTCGTGAATGAATTACTCCATAATTAATCGGACAGCTGTTTAACAAACTTATTTTGATTTTTGAATCATTTCATATATTGGTCGCGGGTATTTATGGAACATGCGTTGTGTTCATCTGGCGTGCCTTAACCTCTTCAAATTTCTCCCTTTAGTAGTTTAGAGGAATTATACATTTATACCCTTCTATCTATTTTAAACAAATTAATAGACCCTTTTATATTAGGGGGGACTCGGTGTATGAGCTTTAGCTTTGTTAAAAGAATTTGAGACAAAACAAATTAGTGGTGTAATTTGGGTGGGTTTAATTTGAGTTCGATCCGGGTCAACCAAATCTTTTGCATAGGTTATGCTTGAGATTATCAAACTTCAAAGTTAGGCTTGGGCCAAAAAACTCAAGCTTTAACGTTAACTCAAGTTGGACCTGAATTGAGGCATCGGATAGATCAAACCTAATTCAATCCAATCTGAGTTCATCCAACATTTTATGATAATATATATATTTACATATTATCAATATATTCTACCTTAAAGTTGGACTACAAAGCTTAACATGCTAAAGCCCAAATAGATTAATAAACTTTTTAACCTTGAATTGGGCTAAGCCTGAACTTGAGGTTTGAGACATAGGGTTAGGTTTTGATAACCCAACCCACCCAAGTTGCACCCCAAGAAGTAAAAGTGAAATAAATTTAAAAAAATTAATTATAACTATGTTATTTATTAATATAATTATTATAGTAGTTTAAAATATAATGATAGTAGTTAATTTTATAGTAGCTATTAATTAATAATTAACAAAAGCTAAATAAGCAACTAAATAATTAGTTAATTTAATACTTTTATTATTTTATTACGTATTAAATAACCCATATTATTTAGTTAATAATAGAATCTGCATATATTTTACATGTTTGACAAACCCTAAGTCCATTTAATTCAAATCATACACGATATGGTTTTAATGAAAATGAATTGATAAGGATCCGATTTTCTCATCTTCTTCACCCGGTATTGTAAAATGGGTTATGCAAAATCCAAATATACAGAAAGTGTGAAAAAACCAAAAAGAATGCATTATTTTCAAAATAATGGTTAAGAAAAGAAAGATGTTCAAAACTAAAATAAGTAAAAACAAAGAGTGAAGAGGACAAATTCTTTAGTTAAAAATTGGTGTTATTAGTTAATTCATGATAAAATAATATTATATAGTCCTAACTTTATTATTTTGAATAATTTGAACAATGGAGAATTACTTTAAAATCCATTTAAAGATCCAAAAAAAAACCCCACAAAAAGAAATTGGGTCCAAAATGATATCTGTTGCCTTCTTCGCCTTTTGTGGCCGAAAAAAAAAGAGGTTGTTTTCTTTGCCTATATTTACAAACGGGTTATATGAAACTGGAATTCAAATAAAGGTTTAGGCTCAGTTTGGAAGGAGTATTTGTAGAGCACAAAACTTTGTATTTTGTATGTATTTGCACTGTATATATTTATATTTATACTATTTTTAAACTGATTTTTAGTAACAGGAAAAAAGGCATTATATCAATAAAATTCAAAGATCAAACAAAATAGAATTGTTGACACGCGTTAAGAGCTTATCCTTGTGTTCCCCTGTCATTCATGGAATGTCCAATGGCTGTCAGGTTGGACGTTGGGTTATTGAATCGGGATAATCAACAGTGATGCAAGGGTCAACGGTTAGGGTCTGTTTGGTTTGCAGTTGGAATTGGAATTGGAGTTCGAATCAAAATTGAAATGGTCTATTCCCATAGTGTATTTAGTTCAAACAGGAATGAAAATGAGAATTGAAATCAAAAGAAATGAGATTTCATTCCCAAAGAAGAGTCAAGAAATGACCATTCCCTCAAATGGATGAATGCCATTCTAGCAATTAGAATCAGAATAACCCATTCCGATTCCAAATCCAAACCCCTATTCATACGAACCAAACAGGGACCAGGGCCTTAGATATTACATAGGGGCAGTAGTCCATGTCGATGATGAACTACCAGCCCCCATCTAATAGCCAGCCATTGACCGGTTGACCCTTGCAGCAGTTTCGAATATAATTGATGTAAAATGCTAAAAACGGTGAAGTATGGGAGGAAATGGTTCAGGCATTTTTGCTTCTTACTTATATACTATGGATGCCAATGACCCTCCAAGGTTTCATAAAACACAATAAAATCAATAAGGCTCTGTTTCGAAGGAGTACAAATGCAAATACATAGAGTGCAAAACTTTATATTTTGTATGTATTTGTACTGTATTTATTTGCATTTACACTCTTTCCAAACTGAGCCTAAGGCTTAGTTTGGAAGGATTACAAATACATATATGTAGCGTGCAAAACCTTGTATTTTGTATATATTTGCAATGTATATTTTTGTATTTATACTCCTTCCAAACTGAGCCAGAACAAATACAAATGCAAATATGTAGAATACATAACCTTGTATTTTGTATGTATTTGCACTACATATTTATATTTGCACTTCTTCCAAACTGAACCTTCGAAAGAGTACAAATGCAATTATATAGAGTGCAAAACCTTGTATTTTGTATTATTTTGCTTGTATTTATATTGTACAAATTTGCATTTGTACTCCTTCTAAATTAGGAATTTTAAAGAATGCTAAAGCGGATATCATCACTTTGGATTAGATTATTAAGGTCAAACTAACAATTAACAAAGGGTGTTTTTTTGTGTATCTCTTAAATCTCAAGGGAGAACAAGGTGCCGACCAATTGTGCTAGTCGTAGCGGAGACTTGCCAGAACTTGGGGATTATGGGTTCCCAAAGGAGAAGTACAGAGTGGTCAATGTACAGTAGGTGGTAAAAGCATTTGTCAAAAAATAAAGGGGAGGTTTAAGTAACTTATTCATGATGCGTTGAAAAAATCCACAACTTTTCCTTGTTTTTTTGGTATGATAATTTTTTTAGTGAAAATTTTCAATAAATGCATATTTACCAAGTATGGTTTGGGCTTTGGATAGCATACTAAGGAGGTGTTTGGGATCAATGATAATTCCTCTTATGAGATTTCTCATAAATCACTGATTTCTTGAAAACCCGAGAAATTGTTCATTTGGTACCATTGTTGTAAATTACCCAATTTCTGAGAAATCAGCTATGTCTCCCCTATCCACATCAAATGCCACATTATATAAAAAAAGGCATAATCAAACTGGAAAAAAAGAGGAATCATTGTGTAAGTACATCTGGTCCTCCATTGCCATAATCATGATGAAAGTATCAAAATAGAACCACATATATTCTTGCGATGAACTCCGAAAGCCATCCCGAGTCTAGGATAACTTTAACAAGCTATTTTAAGCCTGTAATGAGCCCAAAGAGCTTCCCACATATATGCTTTGCCATGTGGCTACGAGGAAACCCATGACAAGATGTAGCCTGTATGTGCTAGGCGAGAATCCTCAAGGAAAATGGAACTTTGTCCTTAGAGGATCTTGTCGGACACATGGCGGAACCTCAATGGTATTCTCTTGATAACCGACATAAAAATAAGGAATCCCTTTCCTAATGGGAATCAAATCCTTTTTTGAAATCCTTCTCCTTAAAGTCTTGGGATCTCCCATATAAAAGGAGGTTGTAAAGTATGACTGGGGGACATTCTCTTTGACTACTCTTACTACCCGACTCTATTGAAACTATCCATAAGCAAAAACCTACCCATTATTTCCCCCTACGGCCTTAGCCCTGATCTTTCTTCGTCCTTTAAGGAGACCACCGTATCTAGCCTCACCTCCATACTTACACATTGAAAATGTTGATTCCTCTTTTAAGCCCGATTTTAATAATTGACTTCTTATTGATTTATTGATTTCTCAAAAATCAGCCAACCAAACAACAAAATAATCAATGGTTTTTGAATCACTAATGTGGCTCTGATGTGGTGCTGATTTCGAGAAACCTGCATTGGTCCCAAACACCACCTAAATTTTAAACCCATAAAATTACAACAAATAAAGATCAGTGGGATGGACAACGTTTTTTTATGGAAAAACAGTACCAAATAAAAGGTCATTTTCTGAAGCACCGTTTTTTTTTATGTGGCACATATGTGGCACCGTTTTCTCAAAAAATGACATCGATGCCAAACACTGCCTTTACTATTAGACCTCAAAAAGTTTCTTACTACTTTAATCCATCCCGTTTTCGTTTACCAATAACTCTTTTTAGAACTGTTAACTAGAATAAAATCATTATTTATATGTTTATATAATTATTAATTAATAATTTGATTAAAAATCAAGGTTCAAAGTATCAATTTGCACAATAGAACGAATTCATGTATTGTGCATTTCAATTAGCTGATATTGGAATAAAAAAAAAAAACAAATTAAAGATCAATAATTGAATGAGAACATCTCCAGGAAGGCTATTAACTTCTAATAGTGGTCAAATGTCCTAACTCCCTCTATTTATTGTTTCAAACCCTCAAAGATACGGGGCATATTATATCAAAACTTTGAATTTTGTTTAAAAGAAAAATAACATATTAATGGTTAATATGTGTAAATAATGTATTAATTTTTGTA